GTCCCAGACCCGCCTCCATTCGCTGAAGGACTTTCAGATGCTGCAGTTCTACAGGCAAAACGTAGCTTGTGCGGGACTAGTAGAGGCTATTTTCATCAAGCTAAGCAGTCCTCCTCCCAAAAGCAAATGCACTGCTGCAGTCGCAGCACAGCTGACACACCGCCTTCCTAGAAAGGCTTAGGCTCCCAACACTGTTCCTGTGTTCCAGGAATGCAAAGACACTGAGGCTCAGGATCCCGCTTGTCTTGCTATCACTGCAATATCAGACGTGCTCTCAATGCCTGTGCTCTTCCAGGCACGACACTGTTCCACAAACCTCCTTCTCTTCATGCTACTGCCATTGAATGGCCATGCCAGCACAGTCCTCCCGTTATCTCAGGTGCTCACCCCAACCCAAGAGAAGCTTTTTCAGCTCCACTGTGTTGCCCCCAAATGCCTGCTGTTGCTGTGATTCCCACAGGAAATGAGCTTAACTCCTGCTAGGACGGCCTGGCCTTGGGCGGCCTCTGCAACACGGTTTAGCTGCAAAAAACTCAATACATGCAGCAACAGAGGCCTGCGCCAAGTGCTAAGAAGCAGGTAGTTTGGAAGTTGAACTATCGGCTGCCCTGTGCCATCCTGCCAGCAGATGAGTCAGGACAAGTAGAAACTGGTTCCTGAGCCGTCCGGGCCCAGGGCTGGGCTGCAAATGGATTGCAAATGGCCCTGCAGAGACATTTGCTCTGCAGCAGAGCAGACCTTAGCCAAGCCTGTGGGGAGCAAAGGGTTAAACCATTTAGCAAGGCCACCAGTGTGATAAATGCAGCAATCAGCAGAGACAGCACCTCCCACTGCCACCCAGGGCTTGGGCTGGCTGGGAAGCTGGGAAGGTGGCAGGGAAAGGGGTGGGTGGGGAGGACTCTTATCCTGATATGGCTCCTTCCTTCCAAGTGAGGGTTTGGAAAAACTGAGCAGGCAGGGTTGGCTCTGAAATCACAGCGCCTCAGTGACACAAAGCCAGGCAGATCCCCCTCCGAAAGGAAGGGGAGGCGGCATTGGGCGGACTGGGGGGCGCATCTGGCCCCACCTCGCCTGGACACCCCCAATTCAGCGGGGGCTACCGGGCGCAAGGGGAGCCCGGTGGGGAGCAGACAGACAGAGGGACCCCAAGGGGAGCGCGGGAGGAATGCAGCTCTCCCCCCGCTGCTCCGCTCAGCTCGGAGATTTCCGTGTGACATTCCTGGGCGGCTGCGCAGGCACAAGCAGGCCCCGCGCGGGCTGCAGGGGATTTCGGGTCTGTGCAAACAGGCAGGCGGCTCTGGGTGCGGGCTGGCTGCCTGCGGCCGCATTCCTGAGCGCCCCTGCGTGGCAGCGTCTCCTCGAGGCGGCAGCCCTGCCGACCGCAAGTGCCCCGCGCCCGCAGCGCCCCGCGCAGCGCGGCGGGCACGGACAGACCCCACGCGTCGGGCGTGCTCACACCCCCAGCGCCCGCACGAGGAAGCGCCGCGCCGCGGGGCCCTGCGCGTGCGCCCGATAGGCAGCGGGTTCTGCATATAGGGGACGGGAGACAGAGCGCCCGAGCACATGTGCCTTCTGCACACACATGGAGGTACCTGCACCCTAGACAGAAGGTGCAGTACGCAGCACAAGGGTGTCACCCTCTCCCCAAAACTACGCAGAGCACCAGGTGTCTATTGCACGTTGCTCTTACCGGGGAACGACAAAATGCTCTACGTGCAATAACGGGTTTTGCTATCCTGGCTACTATGGCCTTCCAGTGGGGCAGAGCTAGAAGTGGGATAATCACTCCCTTTGATATTTTTTCTTTCTCCTGTTACCCCCAGTCTCTTCTTCCTCAGAGGAATCCTAGAAGCTTGGTCACTGCAAACACTTGAGTCTTTATGTCAGCAAGTTCCAGGGCCAGGATCTGGGCAGTTCCGTGTGAGGTCACAAGCCTGACACAAATTCAGTTTTGTTCAATATCTCTATTAGTAGTTAGGGTCACTCAAAATTACTGCTCAGTAAATGGGGTCATAACAGACAAAGTTAGCAAGTTGCTGCTTCGCGCCATCTGCCAGCATGACAAGAACTTGTGTTGCTGATTGCCTGGACTAGCCATGCTCCCGCACAGACACTCAGCCTCTGTTCCCAAGACAGTCATGTGCACCTTAGTGGGAGCCACACTTCAACCACACTAATTTCCAGGTGTGGGAAAACATCTCCCCCAACACCTCCTGAGCAGATCTGACAACCAAGCAGGCACTTGTGCAGAGAGGCAGACGCAGCCAGACTCAACAGTTACAAGCTGCCAGAGAGGTCCAGCACTGCTGCATGTGCTAGGAAGCGGCACAATCTGAGCAACGCCGTAAGCTCTACTTGTGTGTTCAAGCTCTGCTCCTAGTTCTGCTCCTTCGGCTTTCACTCAGCCCTTGTCTCTCCATGCCCCAGTATCCCAAAAGGTCTCAGGTCCTGGGTCCACCTCATCTCTGCCCAACTACTCAGCACTCCCCTTCCTGTTCATCTTCCTCCGTGCTCCAGATTTCTCATTTTCCTCCCAAAGTCTTCAAGACAAGTGCCCTTTGCAGGTGCCCCTACAGACACCGGTGCACAAAAAAACCCAGACTGCCTTTTCCAAAGCCCATGGCAAGGTAAGCGAAGTGCTAGAGGAGGTAGTGTCTCCATGCTGTTTAGCACGCCTCCCTCTCCCCAGCACTGCCAGAGAAGAGCTTGCAGAGCCAGTCACTCCTAAGGAAGTTTTTTTTTTCCCTCTATTTTGTTTTGATGGGGGCAGGAGAAGGACCTGCCGTAGTCCAGAGGCAGGAATGGAGACAACAACAGCGACGGGTTCAACTCCTTGCACCAAGTCCCTCAGGGACGGGTGCCCAGCTCCCCGAACAGGAACAGATTGCTGGAGGAGAGCATGGGATGGGGAGAGGCCTCACAACCGCTCTCCAACGCCCAGGCTTCCCGTCCGAACGCTGCCGCAGAGCGGGCGCCCGGCGGCCCTTGCAGCGCCGCCCGGGCCGCCGCGGGGCTGCCGC